GTAGGTTTATTTTAATATTATTTTGGAAACAATGTAACCACCAAATATCCAAGGCTCTAAGAGTTGAGTAACGACCTCCAGATGGTCGAAACCACCAAGAAATCATTAGATGAAGAAAACGATCATGAAGATCTAAGACACTCGCATTATCCCTTCTTTTATAACGAGAACCTAAAAACTGTTTTTCATTTGATATACCATCATTATCTAATCCTAATTCATTAGCTATGTAAACCGAGTCAAGATGAAAGAATTGTCCTAGGAGATAGGAACGAACTGTTATGGTTTTGGTTTGAGCTCGGTTTTTAACACACACAGCATTAGAATAGAATATGCGAACAAGTTGATGGTAAACTATAGGTTCAAGGTCACAAAGTTTATCAAATTTCCACTCTTGTAAAAGAGAAAGATATCTAAAATCGATATCTATCATAGCTTGAACAGAAGGGATACATTCTTCTCTAATTTTGTAAGAGTCAAAATATTGATAATACCAAAAACGATGATTTCTAGGACCAGGATGATTGAAGCATGAGTTTTGGATAGTCATATTAGGATCAATGGGATTAGGAATAGGAATTTTAGGAATAGGATAAGGATTTGGAGGTGGATTTGGTTGTTGGTTTGAACGACTAGATGAAGACCTAGCACGTTTAGGATTTGACATGGTTTAAGAAAATCGGAATAGAATGAATAACCTGCAATTATAAAACACATGTATGCAATGTAATCAATCCCAAAACTCAATTGAGTCCTCAATATTTCAAGGTTCTCTAAACTAATCCTAATGGGCAAAGTTTTTGAAAAACTTATTGAAAAATGAGATTTTGAAAATCAATATATGTATAGTTTTCATAACAACAACATAATTCAATCAAAACACAATAATTTGAAGAAAAAAAATTATTTCGAAAATTTCAAAGAATTTTGGAAAATTCTTGTGTTTTTGATGAAATTAGTTGTAAAATCTAGTTTCTAATCACTAAACAATCAATGCCCGATCACTATTTCTATCTAGAACTAATTGAAACTAGTCATATGTTCAAAATCAATGAAACAGAGAGTTTAGAAAAATTTACCTTGAAAGATGAGATTGAGTGGATTTTGATGTTGTTTGCACGATTTTAATGATGCTAGCAGGTTTAGGATTTGAAAAATGATGAAATTTCGACTAGAAATAGATGTTATGAAGCAAAAAGGAGATAGGGAGAGAGAGGAGAAGAGCACGGCGTGAAGAGGAAGGGAGGGTTTTAGCAAAAATTGGGTTCTGCCCGTGTTAAAAACCAGAACCCCAGGGGGGTATCGATTCCCTCTGCCCTATAATTAAAAAATCTGTATTTTAAACACTCAAAATGCTAAATTAATCTTCTCTAGTGGTATTGGTAACTCATATATCAAAAATTAATTATGTTCAATCAATCAAATTAATCCTTAAACTACATTTGAACATAAAGTTAAATTTTTTTCATCAAGAATCATAAACTCCCCCTAACTAATAGCAATGAATGTAATCAGAAATTACAATTATAAGCATTTTTCATTTATTCTTTAAAATGCCAAAATTATTTTAAACACTTAGTGAAGATAGGTCAGTTAAACCTAATTCTCTCCTAAGTGTCCAAAAACGTTCATTGTCTAAAGGTTTTGTAAAGATATCCACTAATTGATGCAAAGTATCAACAAATTTTAGAACTACATCTTCCTTAGTGACATGGTCTCTAATGAAGTGATGTCTTATTTCAATGTGCTTAGTTCTAGAGTGTTGGATGGGATTTTTAGTGAGACAAATAGCACTAGTATTGTCACACTTGATAGGAATGGTACCTACTTCAATTCTATAATCAAAAGTTGTTGTTTCATCCATAAAATTTGTGCACAACAACTACCAGCTGAAATGTATTCGACTTCAGTGGTAGATAATGCAACACAATTTTATTTCTTTGAAAACCAAGAAATCAGCATATTTCCAAGGAATTGGAAAGTACCGGAGGTACTTTTCCTATCTAATTTGCATCCTCCATAATCCGTATCAGAAAAGGCATGCAAGCTAAAGCTAGAGTCTCTAGGATACCAAAGTCCTAAACTAAGAGTGTCCTTAAGGTATCTAAAGATTCTCTTAACAGCTAGTAAATGTGATTCCTTAGGACATGATTGAAATCTAGCACATAAGCAAACACTAAACATAATGTCTGGTCTACTTGCAGTTAGATAGAGCAAAGAACCAATCATTGACCTATATAATTTAACATCTACACATTTACCTCCTTCATCCAAGTCAAGCTTTGTAGAAGAGCTCATTGGAGTGTCATGAGGTTTCCCATTTTCCAGTCCAAACTTCTTGAGCATATCTTTGACGTACTTAGCTTGATTGATGAAGATGCCATCTTTTCTTTGCTTGATTTGGAGTCCCAAGAAAAATGAGAGCTCCCCCATCATGCTCATTTCGAATTCGCTTTGCATTAGCTTAGAAAATTCTTGGCAAAGAACATCATTAGTAGAACCAAATATTATATCATCAACATAAATTTGAACTACTAATAAATCTTTACCTTTATGCTTTAAAAACAATGTAGTGTCAACCTTTCCTTTTGAAAAACCTTTTTAAATTTAAAAGTTTGACAATCTTTCATACCAAGCTCTAGGAGCTTGTTTTAAACCATAAAGTGCTTTTGTCAATTTAAGAACATGATCCAAAAATTTTGAATCTTCAAAACCTGGAGGTTGTTCCACATACACTTCTTATTTTATAAAACCATTTAAAAATGCACTTTTAACATCCATTTGATATAGTTTAAATTCATGAAAACATGCAAATGCTAATAACATTCTAATTGCTTCCATCCTAGCTACGGGAGCGTATGTTTCATCATAGTCTATGCCCTCTTCTTGAGTATACCCTTGAGCAACAAGTCTAGTCTTGTTTCTAACTATATTACCACTCTCATCAAGCTTATTCCTAAATACCCATCTAGTATCTACAGTAGATTTATTACTAGGCATTTTAACTAATGTTCATACTTTACTTCTCTCAAATTGATTTAACTCTTCTTGCATAGCCATAATCCAATGTTCATCATTTAATGCTTCTTTAATGTTCTCAGGCTCTATGCATGAAATAAATGCAACATAATTACAAATATTTCGAAGAGAAGATCGAGTTGTTACCCCTTTGGATGGATCACCTATAATCTCACCATCCTTGACATAGTTGTACTCTCTTGGATAAGATACTTCCCTTTCTTCAATGGTTGGATTCTCGAGAGGATCATGAGTTTCCTCATCTTTCGTTTCTTTCTTTGATGATGATTCTCCAACGTTATGTCTAACATCATTTGTATTTATAATACCAACATCATCATTAACACAAGAATACTTCCTCGGAAGGAGATTATCATCGAAAACAACATGTATAGACTCTTCTAAAACTAAAGTTCTTTTATTAAATACTCGATACGCTTTAGAATTTAAGGAATAACCCAAAAAAACTATTTCATCACTTTTAGCATCAAATTTGCCAAGGTTTTCTTTACCGTTGTTTAAAACAAAACATTTACATCCAAAAGGATGAAAATAGCTAATGTTAGGCTTTTTATTTTTGAAAATTTCATATGGAGTTTTCTTTAAAATTGGCCTAATCATTACTTGATTTACAACATAACAAGCGATATTTGTGGCTTCCGCCCAAAAATATTTTGGCAAATTATTTTCACAAAGCATGGTTCTAGCCATTTCTTCTAAAGTTCGATTTTCCTCTCAAAAACTCCGTTTTGTTGAGGGGTTCTAGGTGCTGAAAAATTATGGCTAATACCATTAGAATTACAAAACTCATTAAATCCAAGATTTTCAAATTCAGTGCCATGATCACTTCTAATACTAGTGATAGAGTAACCTTTTTCGTTTTGGATTACTTTTGAAAATGTGATGAAATTTTCTAATGCTTCATCTTTAGTACTTAAGAATAGAATTCAAGTATATCTAGAATAGTCATCTACCAAGACAAATGCATATTGTTTTCCACCCAAGCTAGTAGTCCTAGTTGGCCCAAAAAGATCTATATGGATCAATTGTAATACTCTACTAGTTGACACATCATTAATGGATTTAAAAGAAACTCGCTTTTGTTTTCCTTTAGCACAAGCATCACAGATTTTATCATTATTAAATTTTAGTTTAGGCAGCCCTCGAACCAATTCTCCTTGAACTAACCGTTGTAAAACACTCATGCTAGCATGTCCTAGTCTCCTATGCCATAACCAACTATCATGCTTATCCTTAGCAACTAGGCATAAATTAGTCATTTCTATAGAGTCTAAATGCACCATGTATATGTTTCCTATTCTATGACCAACAAGCATAATCTTATTAGATGCAATGTCAATGACTTTACAACCATTAGTTTCAAATATGATATCGAATCCCTTATCACATAATTGACTAATACTCAATAGATTATGCTTTAATCCATTCACATATAACACATTTTTAATTTGTATGGAAGAGATATTACCTATTGTACCTAAACCTTCATGACGTTTGAATTTTCTTCCTAGGTTGGGCATCATCAACTTTCTGAATCGTTTAGCAAATAATGCCATTTCCTAATCATCATCATCGTCATTTGAATCACTCTTATCTTTTGTGGATTTGAGAGCAACTCCAATGTTTTTCTTCTTCTCCTTCTCCTTTGGTGTCTCGTCAATCTTATCGAGATCCACTTCATCTTCAAGCATCATTTCATGTGTGAGAAGAAAACCGATTAGTTCTTCAAGAGTTAAGGACGTTAGATCCTTAGACTCGATGATTGTCGTCTTCTTTGATTGCCACGATTTTGGAAGGGAGTAGACTAACTTCCTCATAAGCTTTTCATTTGAAATGATATCTCCATATGATTTGAGACAATTGACAATTGTTGAAAATCTATCCGTCATAGCTTTGATATCTTCATTTGGTTTCATCATGAAATTTTCATAGCTATGCGTTAGAATACTAATTTTAGATTTCTTTACCTCATCGGTACCTTCATGAGTGACTTGAAGTTTGTCCCATATTTCTTTGGCGGTTGTACAAGATGAAACTCTTCCGTATTTATCTGGTCCAAGAGCACAAAATATGATATGGATGGCTTTAAAGTTGAGCTGGAACATTCTTGTCTCTCATTCACTCCACAATCTTGGATGAATGAGAGGCTTGATGTATCCTTCTTCTATGACATTCCATGCTCCCATGTCACTTGCTTGAACGAAGTACATCATCCTATTTTTCCAATAGGCATAATTAGCTCCATTGAAGAAAGGAGGCTTGTTGACGGGCATCGAATCGAGACCGGAGTCGAAATTTGAAGTGGAGGCCATTGATGACTTTGATTATCAATGTAACTCTTCCCAAATTGACTCAAGAGGCGATTAAACCTTCAAATGAGTTAGGCTCTGATGCCAATTGTTGAGTTAATCGATCGATGAAATCGACCAAGAGGGGGTGAATTGGCAATAAAAATTTTGGTGGAATCTTTTGCAGAAAATTGAAAGTAATTGCACAGCGATTTAGAGTGGTTCAACTTTCTTAACCAAAGTCTGCGTCCACTACCTTAGCTATCCATACTAAGGATTTTCCACAAATTCACTAATTTTTCTTTCTTTTGAGGACAAAGAGTAACCTTACAAATCCTCAAGAATTATACCCCAAATTCTTGAGAACACTCTCTCACAAAGAGAACAATACAAATTTGTAAACTTACAAGGAAATACTCACAAGGTAGATTGTTCGTACAATTCTAGAACAAAGAAAAGAACACTCAAGAATGAATACAATTGAGCACAATAAGTGTTCTTTAAAGCAAAATGAATATTGAATGAAAAATAGGCTTGAAATACTCAAACTTGAGGTTTGATGCTTTCTCTTTGATTCTCTCTTGATTCTAGTTGCTTGATGTTTCTTGTTATTGATCAATGGCTTCTAAGCTTGTTTAAATACACCTTGAATCACTTCTGAATGTTGGGGGATCATTAATGAAGTTATTGGAGCCGTTTAAGTGTGAAAACAATTAATACAACAGCTTGGAGCGTGGGGGGAATCAGTTCCCTAAGTGTAAAATTCAAATATTTCGACCGTTGAACAGTGGGGGAATCGATTCCCTCCGAGCATACTGGAATTTCTCGGAGCCAAACCATTCAGGGGGAATCGGTTCCCTCTGGACAAACTGTAATTTTTGGCTTTGAAACGGTTCGAAATGCTTTGTAAAATTGTTTTTGAAATTATTTTATTATTAAAACTTAGTTTTACACTTTAGTAAGGATTTAAAATGAACTTTGAAATACTTTGAGTATTTTGATATTCGATTTAATATATCGAATATGCTTAGAAACATCTTTTTCAAAATTAAAATTCTTTTAATTTAATTTGTTATATCGAAACATCAAAATGTTTTCAACAATGTATTTTTTTTATAAAACAGCATATTGATGCATGGGTGTCACGTCTTCTGATAATAAGGATATTGAAGAAAATAAAAAATACGTGATGGACTATTATGCCGAAGTCACGTAGCTCACTTGAAGGATCAGAGAGACACTTCATATGTGTTGGGTAATGGAAAAGCTAAACTTTATCTTGCGTGGTGGGATGTTGATAAGGTTAGTATTTATTTTTGAATATTTTAAAGGTGTTCATAAATAAAAATTTGATGTGCGCAATTGAATTATTATTTATAATTGTAGGTGTTTATCCCTGTTTTGGAACATCGTCATTGGCTTCTCGTCGAGCTTCAGCTCCCATCCCTGAAGACGATAGTATATGACAGCATATTGAATTACATACAATTGTCTGATTTAAGATATATTATTTGTAAGGGATGGAGCGCTCATTTGGCTAAATACTTGAATGCAATTGATTATTGGACTAATTCTGGAAACAAGAAGCCAAAAAAGTTCAAAGTTACAATGATCAGAGACGAGACCGTGCCACAACAAACAGAGGGAGCCAAAGGGGATTGTGGTCCTTTTGTATGCATGTGCTTGGAACGTTTGACGACAGGAAGTAAACAGTTTCTACCTCCCACAGATAGAGATAAAGGTGCAGTAGGGTTGTGGTTTCGACATTTTATGGCTCGAGCGATATATGCGAGACGTTGCCTACCTGCATCCGCATGCTGAAAGTGTGCATAAACAATTGGTAAGTTTGAGCAAGTGCTGTTAACATATATACTCTTTGTTGGTTTGAAAATGTTTGGTTAAGTACCTAGAATTCAATAATTTGTTGTTTGTTGGTTTTAGATGTGTATAAAGTGTTGTTTGAGCAAATGTTTAGTTTCTGCAGGTTAATCCTGAAGTGAGCTGCATGAAATTGATGTATTTGTGCATAAACAACTGTCTGGGGTACACTTTTTTTGCTTGTTTAATTGATTTGTAAAAGTTGATTTGTTTAATTGATGAGGAAATAAGAATTATTTTTTTCTTGTTTAACTGATTTGTAAAAGTTGATTTGTTTAATTGATGTGTAAATAATTCTTATTTTTTGCTTGTTTAATTGATTTGTAAAAGTTGATTTGTTGTTTTAAATTTCAATATGCATTATGTTGAAGGCAAAAAAGACCTGTTGAAGGTACACTTTTGCAACACGAAAATCAAATTCGCAACGCGAAAGTCAAATTCGCATTATGATAGTCAAATTCGCAACGTGATAGTCAAATTCGCAATGCGAAAGTCAAATTCGCGTTGCGATTTCACGTTTCGAATTTGACTTTCGCAACAATTGCAATGCAAATTTGACTTTCGCAACAATCGCAACAAAAAATCGCAATGTGAATTTGACTTTCGCGTTGCGAATTCAAGGAAAACACCTTCAAAAAGACAACAGACAATAATCTGATAAGTGATAACAACTGAACATATCATAGCAATGTTCAAACTCAAGTTACTAATGAATGTCTAACTGAAATGTATGCATTCACACATAAAATACATATAATACAACATTTTCATTTAAAAATCACCTAAGTTAATAAGTCCTAAAAGGTGAAGCCAATTGTGATTGGGATTTTGATTTTGATTGCGATTTTGATTTCCTTTTGTTTGGTACCATATGAGCTTTGGATTTTGATGAGGATCCATATTATGGTAGAGGAAAAGATTATTGTGATGGCACTGGTGATCCACAGGTCAACCTTGTATGACCACTTTCCTTGCACCGACTACATGTCGATATCCTCTTCTCTTCACCCTTAGACGGTATACGATCGTGCTTTTTTTGTCGTCCGGGTAGCCTGCTGTCCATGACTGGTGGCAAAACTGTTTGTAAGTCATCTGGTATGTCCCACTCAGAAGGATGTGGAATATGGTAGATAATCTCGGCATAAGTCTGTCGATATACTTCTGTAGTGTAGCAATCCATAGCGTATGCGCTTGAATCATCTTGGTTTAGATGAATAACAACTTTTATAACATGGCCACACGGATAACCAGATGTTTGTCATTTCATACAACTACATGTCTTTGCATTTAGATCGATAAGCCCACTTAAGTTATTATCCAATACTTCAAACAAAGTGTTTGAACATGGTTCAACTCTCCATGACGTTGACTTCACAACACGTTTCGTTATCTTTTTTCAGTCCATGGTGTAACACGACGTTCCAATGTTCCTGTAAATTTAAATAAATAATACTTAGTAAAATATATGATAAGTTATGAATTTAAAGAAATAATACCTGCATGGTTTCTTTTCTTGTAGTACCACTGTTGAATAGAGGCTCGAAAAAACTCCATTAACATAGTAATGGGTAATTTCTGGGAATGATAACTTAGAGCGTTGATTGATTCTGCACTATTAGACGTCATGAAACCATATCTTGCTCCAAGTTGATGTACTCTTGACCATATTTCAAATCCGACATCTTCTAGTGTTTGAGCGCATTGAGGCAAAACACGTCTTAAACAATTTATATGCTAATGGAGCTATTAGACCTCCAATTCTACCAGTTTTTTGGACTTACCCACAGTGTGTTAATGCTGTCAAATACTGCAAGCTTGTGGTCCAGATCGACTGGACTTTCTTGTATGGAAAATACAAGCAAGTTTTATTATTGGCAGTTGTCCAAGATGACAATCGCAACATTCTTCCAGTTGCTTTTGTTCTTGTCGAAGGAGAAGATATAGGTTCTTGGGCTTTTTTCCTCCGAAATTTACGTGCACGTGTTATCACGAGGGAAAACATATGTGTCATTTCAGATCGCGGAGCTGGGATCAAAGCAGTAATGGAGTCTTTGGGTCCAATGTGGCAACCACCCTTTGTCCAACATAGGTATTGTCTCCGACACATTGCTGCGAACTACCATGGAAAGTACAAGAAGAATGATGAGCGTCAATTAATTGTGTACATGGGTAAGTGAAATTGATGTAGTTTGTTTTCTTTCGATCGTTTTAATTTTGCAAAGAAAGCAAGTTAGTAAATTATACATTTTTTGATCAGGTTACGAACTACTTCCTCGAACGTTTGAATCAATGCTTCAAGATTTACGGGCGAAGAACGAGGAAGGATACGATTACATCAGCCATATCGATAAATAAATGTGGACGAAAGCATATGATGGTGGATATCGATATGGACACATGACAACCAACTTGGCAGAGGCAATCAATTCAACTTTAAAGGGTGCACGTCATTTACCAGTAGCGGCTTTGGTAAAGACTACATATTTTCGTATGGGGGCGCTTTTTGCGAAGCTCGAGGGACAAGCTCAAACCTGGATGCAAGGCGGTCATGTCTATTACCCTAGATTAGTTGCAGATCTACAGAAAAAAATTTCTGCATCAAATGGAATGTCTGTAACAAGCTTCTCTAGAAGGCATGAAATGTTTCGTGTCACAGAGTTGCCGCGACCTCTTCAAAGGATTGAAGTTGTGTCGTTAAGAGTAAATCTAAGGGACAGAACGTGCGACTGCGGGTTTTTTCAAGCTCTTAAGTATCCATGCTCTCATGTGATAGCAGCTTGCTCGCATACACGTCAAGACTATAACCATTTTGTGGATCCCGTATACCTACTATTTGAAGTTTTTAAGGTATACGGATTTGAGTTTCCCCCCATATGTAATGACAAAGACCCTGATGAGGTTCAAGACTGGCTTCTGATTATACCAAATCCGAGTTTATTGAGGGAACGTGGTCGTCCACAATCCAATCGAATTCATTGTGATATGGATATTCGAGAAAGATCTAGACAAGACAGAAGATGTGGGCATTGTAGAAACCCAGGACACACTAGAAAAACATGTCCACTTCTGTTACCATCAAGTAACAATTGATGAGGAAATGATGTATTTGTTTATCAAATAATAATTCTTGTACTTTGATTTGCATTTACTTCAAGTTAATGTCATTCGATAATCGCTGATGAAGATTAAAAAAATGATACAATAATACGAGATTGGACGTTTGCGTTTTATATGATTATAATAAAAGAGATAATAAGTGACAAACTTAAGAAAGTTATCGAACAATTTGGTATTTCAAAATAATTTTAATTACAACAAACTTACAATAAGTATTAAATGGTAAATGATAACCAAATTACAATAACTGATATTAAATGGTAATAAACAAAATTAACTGAAATACATTAAAAAAAGTCAAACAAATTTAACAAAATAAAGTAAGTATTAAATGAGAAATAATAAAAAATTACAATTAAAAAGTCCAATAAACTAAATACAAATATAATAAAAAACAAAATCTATCGATGCCTGCGACGCGAATGTGTTCCACAGGGCGGTGGCTATCTGTCTCGAGGAGGATTTCTTCATATCACTGGTTATGACTCCTCGCTGTCATCATCATCACCATCATCGTCGTCGTCGTCGTCTTGAGTAGGTACATTAGGTTGATAAGGAGCTGATGATGATGAAGCACCTCCATAGAATAAGAACCCTAGAGGTGTATGATTGACTATCCCACCGGCCTGCGAAAACTGGGAAAACTCATAAAACCCATACATCGCTGAGTGTGAAAATTGTACAGGAAGTGTCTGTGCTGCGACCATGGGTGATGAGGCTGAACCTGCCAAATATCCAGTATATGAACCCCAAGTTGGATCTAAAAACATAGACCCATAATAGCCTCCAGGAGGGGTCATCTGTGGCGGTGGCGGGGTCATAAAACCAGGTGAAGGCGACGACATCTGGTAATGAAAAGGCGGTGGCGGCATCATATATGGCTGCGGTATGTAAGTCACTGGATACGGTGGATGTTGTGAAGGTTCTACTGGTGCAGCTGAGGATGAACCGGATGTACCTGCTCTCCGTCCACGAGTCAGGGGACGATGGTGCTGTGTCAGTGAACGTCTCTGTCGACGTCACGGAAAAGTCTGCCCTCGTGCATCCTCGGGAAACAAAAATGGTTTCCCGTTACTGTTGAACCACTCGTAATAACTATCAGCAACCATCAAGAGGTCATCAAAAATGGGCTCTCTACGGGAAAGGTGTCGGTGTCGATCCTCCCACAACACGACCCACGCGATCTGTATCTGTCTTGCCGCGTCTATTTGTGCTATGCAACTCATCTATATTGTGAGGTGCTTCCGGAATTGGTTGAAAATAACCAAATTGCCGAAGCACGCGATCAGTAGAGTGCCACTCGACGATCGCATAACAGATCAAGGGGACCATCGCCATCTAAACATCTGATAGGCCCCTCAACTCAGGTGGGATCACCGCCCTCACATCATCAGTAGAATATGACATCCATTCAAACTAAAACAAATATATATAATTTTTATCAAAAGAATAATCTAATTATATAACTATAATCTAAAATCGATTTTTAAACATTAAAATTCAAACCTGTGTGCCATCCTTCTGATCGATTAGCACCCTAATTTTTTCTAAATCATCAGGTAGCTCTTGATGATTTTTCCTATCAGTAGACCACCTATTCAAGGAAAAAAAATTTATTATACGCTTTATAAAATTATTAATATATGAAATCAGTTTTATAATTACCCTAGGAGTAGTGGAAATACGAATGAGTCCTTCACAACGGGATATAAAAAGGACAATCGATACCATGCCCAAGACTGCAGCAACAGGAGACATCCGCCGATAGCATTATGCATGTAGTCAATGGCTCGACACATCTCCCTGTACAGGCAAGCCAAAACTACCGAGCCCCAACTGAGTGATTCGACCAGATGAAAGTTGCCAAGATGTTGCAACCACATACAGTGAACTTGGTTGCATGAGTTGTCCGACATCAACAACCCTCCTATCAGCTGCAGTATGCATGCTCGTGCATACTGTTTAACTTCATTGTCAGATGCGTCCTCGCTCAACTCCCGAAAATTGGCATCTAACCAATTTAACGGTATCCGTCCACCGTTAAAATTTTTCGGGACACGTCCTAGACTAACCCGACACAAAGTACTCCAAGAACCGGAAGCTATCCCTGATATCACACCTCCATCCACCGATATCCCCAGGTGCATAGAAACATCTTCAAGCGTGATCGTGCACTCTCCACACGGAAGATGGAATGTGTGGGTCTCCGGCCTCCACCGCTCTACTAAGGCAGAAATAAGGTCTGGTTCTATCTTACAGTGACCCTGATATCTACCTAGGTGACCGAATCCAGCCTCTACTAAATATGACATTACACGAGTAGGTATAACTAACTTAAGGTTCCTAATAAAATGATCTAATATACAGTCTCTCTCCTAAAAAATAAATAATTACACAAATTAATTTTTAAACTAATAATCATGCATTAAATAAATAAATTAATTAAATTAAAACGTTAAAATGTTACCGTATCAGCAAAGTGTCGAGATATATGATTTGCATCCAACTAAAGTAGACCGCCTTCTATTTTATGTCTACAAAAAAAATTAATTAAATAAAATATTTAGCAATTAAAATAATTAAATAAATTACTAAAAAAACTAAATATAATAAAATATACCATAACAATAGAATATAAGAGTATTTGAGAGAAGTTGAGAGGATTTGGTATGATGAAAGTGATTGAGAATTGGGGTATTTATAGGGAGGGATGAGTGTGAACGGACAGGGGTAATTTGGTAATTAAGGGTATAACGCGGGGTAGGGCCCGCACCTTTCTGACGCGTGTCAGAATCACACTTAATTACCAACCTACCCTCGCCCATTCACACTTGTATCCATGTCAGCATAAGGCGCGCCTTACCCCACATGGCGCCAACTTAGCGTATAGCGCGGTGCAAGGGGCGCGCCTTACTGCAAAGGGTGTTAGATCGGGAAATATAGTCTGACCGGTGCCTGATCGGGAATATTAAATTAAAAAGATGATTTTTTGAGAAAAACGCCGCAAATCGGATGTCCATAGAGTGAGATTATCGCGGAGGAGTTGCATGATGAGGGTGCTATCTTTGTATGATTCATCACCTAAAGTATCCAACTCAGTGATTGCTTCATCAAATGCATGTCCCGATCGCAAGGAAGCACGTTAGCAACTCTAGATGTATGAGCATATTATGTTTATTTTTGGGAGAAAAAGAAGTTAACCGGAATCAACCTGTTTTGCAAAATTGCAAGCGTGATCAGGAGAGTTGAGAATCTCGTAGTAGAAAACAGGGAAATTGAGTGCGAATCCGAGCCGGATCGGGTGAGTTAGAGCCAAATCGGCGCTGGCAATGTCCTATGAAACAAAAAGAAAGGTTAATATCAATAGATATGCTTGAATCATGTTTCTAAGGGGAAAAAAGGGCAGGAATTTTGAAAACCTGAGCAGATTTGTAAGCAGTGAGAGTACTCTCAGCAGCTTCCTTACGTTCGGCTCCAGTTTTGAACTCAGCCAAATACCTATGAAAATCACCCTTCATCTTAAGATAAAAGACCTTGGAGTCTTTAGCGGAGGCCAAAGGGATGAGCCTGGAGTCAAGCAGCTTCAAGATTCCGCCACAGATGGAGGAAAGCTCGGTCTCTATCTTGGCCCGATAATCACGGATGACAGCCACGTGATCCTCGTTACCACGGCTCTCCTCTTTCTGCTCAATGGAGGAAACGATCCGCCACGAAGCACGGCGTGCGCCAATCAAGTTCTTGTATGCGACGAAAAGGAGGTTCCGCTCCTCGACGCTGAGCCCCTCGTTGTCGGTAGAGACGGAGACCTTCTCCATGAACTCGATCATTTCGTCGTAGCGCTCGGCTTGCTCTGATAGTTTGGCCATGTAAACGAATTCCTCGCGGGAAGAAGGGGCGGTGACCATTTCGTAGGGTTATGAAATGGGGTTTTGAAGAGGGGAATGGGTAGGCTATGAAAAATGATTTAGATGTAAGATTTTAGGGTTTGAGAGGATGAGAGAAGTGAGGGGCGATGATTGCGTTGAAGAATGGAAGCTGGCAAACACGAGATTCTGAGTTTTTGGGGAAATTCAAAAAGGTAATCTCACGGTCTCTCTTCTTCCCCTCTTTTTGAGGGAGGGAGGGACGGACGGGATTTGAAATTTTAATATATAATTGAGCTTTTCGGTAGTTACAGGCTTTCTTGGACCAACTCTTTTGCTGTTCTTTTTCTTTTTTTTTAAAATAATATATTATGATTATAAGAAAAAAAAATAATTTATTGATAATATATATCTTACATATATAATTATATAAATTTTATAACTCATCATTATGTACGATTATTGAGATTTTTAGGTCACTATGTGAAGTAGATAACATTATGACCATTAGGTCAAACCTTACGTTTTTTTTTTAGAATTTTTCTTCCAAAATCAAACTCAAAACATAAATAGTTGTAAATAACTAAATCTAAAAAAGCACAACCAAAGTAGATTGTGATCCATATATTATTATATGCTTATCTTGTTCCCGGTAAGGTTCGGTTCTTTGATCAAAATTCAGTTTGACAACCCTGGCATTATAGAAACCACAATGCAGTTTTGTTACATGCTATTTGCTTAAGGAGAAACAGGTTCACAAGTAATATACCATGTCTGATTCGAGCAATGCGGTTGTAGCTGAGGTTGAGTACTCGCAACTGAGTTAATTGTCGGAGTCCTTCGATGTTGTTGATCTTGTTTTTTGACAAGTTGTGTGTGTGAAGGCTCTTTGGAAGTGATCCTGGAGTAACTTGGACTTCAAGAAGAAAGAATCACAATCATATGTAAAAGGATGGGTAACTTCTCTTAAGAGCATACCTATGAAGTTGTTTGACAAGTTGACAGATCGAAGGCTGGTGAAATCTGAGATCATTGGAATAGCTTTCAGATTTATGCCTGAAATGTGAGCAACAACAGAGGAATAATTGAGAGTCTGAATGACATCATTGGCGTATAACACCTCCTCGGACGGGATCCGGTCCAAACAGAGATTCGAGTGTGGTATGTTCCTTGCTGGTGATTTATAAGTGCCTACAGAAAATTCGTAAAATTGTGCCTTCATGACCATTCATATCATCTGCAGGCTGTGTAGTTTCAACATGACTTACGAAGGAACTGATCAACTACCATTCTTTGAACATTCCTTGTCTCCAAATTAGAGCAAGAACGCTTAAGGATTGGTAAAGCACCGAACTCTATCCTCTGGATCCCCGGTTCACATACATGTGCACATCGACAACGTTTTCATCATCATTTTCGTCTAGGTTGATGAACACTTCCTCAGTGTCAATTTCAAATGAATCCGAAGAAGCCACCCTTTTTGTTGTGAAATCAAATGATTCGCCTGAACTGATCACATGGGCTTGGAACTTGAAATCGGAGAATCGTATACTAGTCGAGGCGTCCTCATGCTCCTCTTCCCCTTCATATGTGTCTGATGCTACAAATCCAACAGGACTCCCAGGACTGATTACTTTGGCATTGCAAAGAGATTCTTCCCGAACGATATCGAAGCTTTTAGATTTCGATTCATCGGTCTCGAAAGGCCGCACCTGTTCTTCAATCCCTTTTTGAAGGTCTCTTGCCCCTTTCTCTTGTTCGACGGCTTTTGGAGCTGCATCCTCCCCTTCCCCCCGGGCAAAATAAACCAATGGAAGACGATGAAGCCAGTAAAATTTTTAAAATATACACAAAATAGAAGTAATAAACTGAAATCTTCCTACCTTGCCTTTCTTCTTGTTGCTGCTCTTTGATCTCAATAAAGGGAAACACGTGAAGGTAATCTGTTGAATAGATTTCCCACCTCTTTTTATCTTCTTCCTATTCTGAAGCTTACATCTCTAATCAATTCTCAAGCTTTTCTGGAAATTTGTGTTGCAAAGATCACATGAGAGGTTTATAACCATAAATCAACCGGAAGGCGCCTAACCAAGGACACCGGGAACGGAAGTTCTCGCTACATAGTTGGCCGTAGCTGTATAACCAGTTTTAAAAAAAACAGACAAAATCAGATTTTCAGCCACTTTGAAGTGGTATTTTCCGGCAGGGATCATTTTCAACGACGAGGAAAAGAATCAGAAAGAAACCTGTTGATCTAGTCTTTAATGCATCCTTATGGTGCAACACAAATTTCCAAGCTCTTCACATCTTTTAAAGGATCAACATGTACCGGAACGACATGCATGCACCGTACGTGGAGTTAATGGCTGATGAACCCTCAATTCACGTTTTAAAATCAATGCTGGTACTGAAACTTTGTTCTGAGTTGATATCGAAATATGAACTCGGTAAAAGAATGTGTGATGAAAAGTTATCAACAAGATTTCGTTCTGAGTTGATATCAAAATATCAACTCACTCGAAGAATTTGTGACAAAAAATAAAGTGTAAAATAAAATATAAATACAACATGAATTATTTGTGTACTTTAGTTTTTATATAATACTAAAATTGAGACACAGATAGTGGGTGGAAGAGAGAGAAAAAAACTGTTGATATATAAATAAATGAGAGAAAATTGTTTTTATAATTATTGGCCAAAATATGTTTTTGTCTATGTTTCTTATCTAGTATTTTATATAATACGAAAGTTTAAATCATAATTGTAAACTAAGCGTATAGTTGTGATATTTTCTTATAACTATGGACACAAAAAATTATTATTTGAGATCAAAAAATAACCATATAAGGAAAAATGGTAAAAATCATATTTAAAAAACTCGAATAAATGATAGATACAAATATATTTAACTGTATAGGCAAACAAACAACTAACAAAAGATTAAACTATTCAAAAATCACCGAAAAACGTAAATAAAAATCAAACATCGTGAGAAAATTATCTACTATTATAAATCATATATCTATCCAATTCGAGGTCCAAAGTGAAAAAGAATGACATTTTGTTAATCGCGTTGATTATAAATCCAATTCTAAGAAAAACAAACAAATAACAAACAATTAAATGGCTGATAGAAAAAGACAACAATGTACTAAAAGGTTGGAAAAAAACAAATAAAAGACTCTACAAAAGAATAATAAAGATCGATGGACGTGAACCAATATTAAAATCGGTATCGCTGTGTGTGACTTAAAATCAAAAGAAGAATAAAGAAGCGGTTAGGGTTTGTTTGATTATCTCCATATCTATCAAAAAAATCTTGTGGTACAGCACAGGTGTGAGAATAAATCTTAACCGGTTGACATGGACACGTTGCATTTGACGCGAGAGAATTGTAGCTTGCATGCTCAATCACCATCATAGTTTACATTGGAAGGGAGCTGTTTCTAGATGAAACTTCTGGAGTCCATAAATGAGCCCAAATTAACATATTTGAGTAACAATTGACCCGGAGTAGTAAAATCCGGTTAAATCCGATCCGACCCTTTTAATATCGACGTGGCAACGTTTGGTTGGGCAATTAAATCAAATCCTTCTCTCTGTAAAATAAATCCCATCCCAATCGGTTCCGTCGAGAACTCTTCCGCTTTTTCCGCATCGTGCTTCTTTTCTCCTTTTTGGGGTTTCGATGGCCACTGTCACTGCCACCGCCGACCACCGCAACTACCTCCATCTCGAATCCATCCCCGTCGTAGACCTACGTCTCCTCTCCCAACCCGAACTCCTTTCCTTATCTTTATGCTCCTCTTCTCCTTCCCTTTCCAATGCCGAAACCGAACTGTTCACTCCCAAAATTGACCGCTCCGTATTCAACGAGTCCGCCGGTAGTCGGAAACAGACTTTCTTCCGTCTCCGATTCGGCGGTTCCCGGCCCCGCAGCCACCTACACGACCAACATTCCTCTCCTTCGTCTGAGCCCTTCCCTCCTCCTCTAAACCTAAACCCTGAATCTCTTGACGAAGAAAGCTCTAACGCCCTCTCTCTGCTTAAATCACTTTTCAACATCGATGATTCGCTTCCCGCTAACCCCGAAATCGATGAACCGTACGACAATAAGGATCTTGTGCCGGTTCAAATCGATTATCCGAACGGGAACTCGAGTTTGCAGAATATTCCAGTCGACATTGTTAGTAGTAGTGTAGGAAAAAGGAAGCGAGGGAGGCCGAGGAAGGACGGGAAAGATAATTGGCTGATTGAGAGCGAGCGTTTACCAGTAGAGGAATGTAAAGAAACGGAAACCTTAGATAAGCCAAATGAAACACCTGATGCGGGCAACAGTAGCAGTTGTAACGGAGGGAAGAGGAGGAGAGGGAGGCCACGAAAGGAGGAGAGTCAAAGTAGAATGATTGGAAACGAGCAAAAGAAATTTGAGAGCGAAATCGAGAAGGCAGCATTGGGGAATGTGGAGCAGATTCTGGGAATTGAAGAAGAGTTGAGGAGGAGGACTGAGGGGATTGTGACAGAGGCGCAACTTTTTGAGTTTATGGGGGGTTTAGAAGGGGAATGGTTGACGAAAAACCACAAGAAGAGAATTGTTGACGCCGCTGGGTTTGGGAATGTCCTTCCACAAGGGTGGAAGCTTTCGCTCTTTGTGAAGAGGAGAGGCAACCTTTTTTGGTTAGCATGTAGCCGATACATAAGGTTTTCCATTACATTTTTTTTAAAACTTTACTTTAAAATTCTTATTAATGATAACCTGCATATCTTATCGACGCTGTTTACTTTTTTCGAAATATAAAATACACATAATTTCTTGTTAATGGGAGCCTTTTTATTTAGTTGAATTCCCGTTCTCCCTTTTTCCCTGTTGTTGAGAATAATTTAGAGTCTCTGCTTTGAAATGTCATTGTTTTATCAATTTTCGGTGCTAATTTTATGTATAACATTTTATGTGATTTTTAGTATAATGTTCTTGAATCTTCTCTTTAGACTTTGAATGCTATATCTTTTTTTCCATGTTTGGTTTAGTCCTCAAATTAGCTGTTCCATGCATGATACCTAGTAAGAGAGATTTAGAGCATTTATAAAAGAAAAGGAAGTAGATAACAATCGGATTCGAAAAATTTGTTTCTTATGATTTTCAGTTTTCAGTTCCTTTGTTGTTAGCTGTGTTGGTCATGTCGTTTTTACACTCTCTTCCCTAATATGGTACCCTCCAGCCCTAACGGGCAACAGTTTGTATCCTGCAAAGAGGTTTCTTCATACTTGCACTCCTTTGGTGGACTTAAAGATTCAAGCCTGGAAACTTCAAATCTCTCTGACAGTGGCATTGATTTTGGTGTCAAACCCTCATCTGGAAATGTAAGTTTCTTTTTGTGTTGGTGATTATCATTCACACTTCATCTCCGCTTGATTATGCAGTTGACGATGAGAACTTTAAATGCTTTCTACAGTTGCCAAGAACAAATAAATCTTCTGAACCCGAGAAGCGAGCTCCCTTACAAAGAATGGATAGTCCTAGGGAAGTCCAGAGAGTTGAAATAATAAAATGCCACAAATGCACCATGACTTTTAATTTGCAAGACGATTTTATATGCCACCTGCTATCATCTCACAAAGGACCAGCAATGAGTTCTGGACATGATACCCCAACTATTGGGGAGGTAAAAAACAAAAGTGGAAAATATGAGTGCCAGTTTTGTCATGAACTATTTGAAGAAAGGAATTGCTACAGTATCCATATTGGGATTCACATAGAAAACAATACGAAGAAAGTTGAAGGTTATGTTGGAAAGCAAAACATCGTGCAACCAATAAATTCTTCTGGCAACAATGAAATAGGACCTGGTTTTCGCTGCAGTGAATCTAATGAAAATCCTCTGGTTCAGACGTTTACTGATAACAATCATGGATGCAATTTATTGTCCATTGATGAACAGGATAAGGTTAACAGGAAAGAGAAAGTTTTAGCTGAGAAAAACTGTGATAAACAAGGTAAATTCTATTCCGCAATTGGTAATAAAGGAGACGTCAATGATACTGCTGCAGCTGCTGATCTTAATGTTTGTTTGGGTTCCGAAAATGTCTTGTTTACTGCTGATAAACAAGGGATTTCCCAATCTTCACGTAAAATAGATGTTGGATTTGCCCTTCCAGTGGAGGAGAAGAAGAGAGAGTTTGCTTCAAATACCAGTTTCCTTGCTCCAAATGCCAAGGGAAATATCATTACTGATATGAATATTGAGGATAGACATTTTCCTAGCTTTTTGAAAGGAATGGAAGCTGATTTGAAGGATAAAGCTACAAGGGATGACCGAAAAGCTGGCCGTGTTGATACTAGCACAGGGCTGGATAATGTCAGAGTTGATGTTAAGCAGGAAAATTACAGTGAAGGTTATTCACTCATTCCTTCTGGCAACAAACAAGGAGTTAATCTCGTAGATCATTTGAAAGGGGCTTCTGTTACAGTCGATTCCGCACATGAAAGAGGTTCTGGGTGTGGTTTAACTTCGTCTAAAGATGATCAAACATGTGTCGTCAACAATAATTCGATTCTTGTCTCTGGCACAGTAGTTGATCCCGAGTCCATTATGGTCAATGAGTCTGCAAATATCGATCCTACTGTTTGTTTCCAAAGCCATCTCCCTATGAAGAAACCCTCACACGAGAAAAGTGAAACTGTATTGCTTACATCTCATGGAAGGGATCAAATTTTTCCTTCCGACAATAATGCATTTAAGGTCTTTAGCCAGACGGTAGAGATGTCTGAACTTGAAAAGGCCCAAAATTCTAGTGGATTAATTCAAGGTGTGAACAGGCATGGCAGTGGCGTGGGTGCTAACATCCTGGCTAGTGTCAAGCATGGAAAGACTAAAGACCATCAATTTGGTCCATCTTCATACAAGAAAACATCCATCAGCACACCAGAGTATAAACAGGATAAAGGGTCTGAGAGCATTCTCTATCAACAATACGCTAATCAACAAAACAGTAACTATGACAATAGTATGAACAAAGCTTCTTTCTTTACGATAGAGGATCCCAAACACAAAGTGGCAAGCTCCTTTGCTGGAAGTGCTTATGCTAGACCAGGCACATTTTCTTCAGCAGGCACTGTGCACGAAAGTTGTCCACCTCATTTTTCCGGAAACAGGGATAAAATTGCTGGTAAAAATAATGTGCCTGGTATTAGAAGTGGTGGTCTTGAACCAAAGCAAAATAAAGGTGCTTTTGGGAATTTCTTCAGTCTATCCAGTAGCGAACAAACACATGTGGCAAGTAATGTGAGCATGATTCATGCAGGCAGAGCTCATAATGGATCTAGGTTACAGGATTTTGAAAATGCAAGGAATAATGAAATGATGATTGGTTATTCCAATCATGCCCGACCTATTGAGGATTCCATGACTGGGCTCACATGGAAAAGTAATGAAGGAAATGTTCTGCTGAGTGGTTTGGCTGATACTTCATCTCAATTGTTGCCATCATCCAGTTATTACCCTACATTTGACTGGATGTCACATAAGGTACAGACTACAGATATGATTCCTCATTCTCTCCCATAAGTTATGATATAATGCAAGAAAAAAAATCATGAAACTGTTATTTTTCTCAGAAAAACAGTATGATATATGTTATGTTTAGTTGCTAGTTGCTTTCAAGATGTGGATCTTGATTTTTAAGTTTTTATTTTAATGGAAGTAAAGATCAGAGCTGTTCTTTGCGGTAGAAAACAAATAAATAATTTACTTTTTCCCACTAAGTTCTGCTTTTTAATAAACAAATTACTGTTGGTTTGCATAAAGAAATTTGGCAGTGCAATTTTCTTGTAATTGATAGGGTGAAAGTGAAATGTTCGACATTAGTGGAAAGTGCAGCAGTGTATCGGGTTTTGACGGGCTGCAATCAGATAGCATAGAACACATGGAATATAATTTTCTGACTGCTCAACCAAGTTCTTGTTCAGGAAATTCCAAGGTATCATTGTATGATTAAGAGGCAATGCTGAAAGTAAATAAACACATAAAATAAATTAGTGGTTGTTTGCTTAATGAAATTTGATTATAAAATTTTGTTGCAATGGACAGGGTGGAAGTGAAATGTTCAACATTAGTGGGAAGGGCAGTAATGAATCAGGTTTTGGAGGGATGCGATCTGATAACTTAGAACATATGGAATATAGTTTTATGACTGCTCAACCGAGATCTCGTTCAGTAAACTCTAAGGTACCATCGTACGATTCAGAAATGGCATTAAAGTTTGATTCCTCTGTTTGGCTTGGAAAGGATGCCTTGCCACTGTTGCCTAAAATAGCTGGTAGACATCAGGTTACCGTGTGTTCTTGTTGTGGAAATGAGCTTTATAATGAGGCTGTTGACATCGGGGCACAAAGAAGCTCAATGATTATGTGTGCCAACTGTCGGGCTAGGTTCTCTAGGAACCATGATTTTATGTAGATGTTTACAAGCATACCAGCATGTGTCATTACCAAGGTCTATGATACAAGGTAACTTCCACATCACACGGAACTATTATTTGCTGGATATAAGCCAAGTTTTCATGAGTGGACAGATTGATTGATGTATATAGTATTCTCTAAAGGAAATTACAACTGTTAGAACCATTTTCATATAGTTTCCAACTCAAGGTGATATAGTTCAAGACTTCAAGTTGATTGTGGCTAAATATTATAACACAACATGGTCAATGGAAATGATGTTATCCCCTACATACATTAGCTTAATTTTTCTCTCTTTTATCTTTTGCATGTTATTCTATGGAATACACTACTAATAAGATGCCTCTCCTGTCATGGTTTGCTTGGCTTGAAGGATGGAAAGAAGTGATGGAAAATTTGTTAATCAAATGGTTAAGATTCATAACCACTTTCTTGTTTTGCATTGCTTAACCATTAAATTAAAAAAAAAGTTCATTGCCACTCCTTTCCATCCTTAGTATCTAGCGCAGCCTAAGTGTTGCAAGGAATAAACCTTGCTAGAGCTTTCGGCATCCTTCAATGGGATTCAATTTAGTTGATTCCGTTCAAGGGTGTTTTGAGGCTTGGGCTGTGCGCTATAGTGCAATATATAATATAATCTTGCATTGTAACATACCCTAACTTGATTCCAATTGCTGTGCCAAAAAATTTGAGGATGGCACATTGTAGACTCCTGTATGAATTTTGGAAACTTCTAGATCTGACATCATGTATTTGCTTATAATGTGTTGTGTCCCTTTCCTTTCAAATGATGTGATTTGATGTTCTAGTTACTCCACTCAGTCATTCGACTTGCAAAAATAAATTGAAATAGTTGGAGCTACTCGGAAAAAGGCATAAATGTTTATTCAAAAATAAGTCTATTGGTACTCTTACATTGATGGGGTCAAAGTTATCTTTTTATCAATACACAAGTGTTCTGAAATTTGTTTCAAAGCCTTTTTTTTTTAATAGGAATGTAAGGCCTCATTAAAAACCCCCTTCTTGATTTAAGGAACTTGAAGAAAGCTCCTTAGTCAGCGGAAGGAGGAAAAGAGTACCTTCGAACTTTTATAAATAAAGAAGAATTACATGAGATTTAACAAAAAACACTAAAAAGCATTACATAAGACTTAAACACTCCTCCCGTCATAAAAACCTACACACTGGACCAGAAAAACCACAATAGAACTCTTACAATCAACCTATCCTTTGCTTTGCTAAACTATGTGCCTCTCCATTACACTCCCTTGGAATCCACCTTAGTAAATGAACCTTGTCTGAGATAAGACTCGAAATCTGATAAACAATTGGCGAGAAAAAAATTGGTGCCAAAACCGATGACTGGATCCAATCCACTGCGGACGAACAATCACATTCAACGATCAACCTACCTACTGATACCCACCGTGATGACAAAAAAATTTCAATGCCTCTTTTTATAGCTTTTAATTCAGCAAGTGGAGGAATTCCTTGACCAATATTCTCTGAAAAAGTCAAAAGGGTGCAACCATTTCAATCTCTTAATATACCTCCAATTCCTCCCCCCGAACCGTTTAGCCTAACAGCTCCATCGACATTCATCTTTAGGAAATCTACTGGGGGGTATCCATCGAATGACAAGACGATCTTTAACTTTACAAGGTGAAAAACCATCTGCAAGAGATGGATTACCAATCAGCACATCCTCTTGTATAGCCATTTTAGGGAATTTGGCATGGAACCATTTAGCAAGCCTGAATCTAACAATGAAGAACAAAGACAATCTGTCTAAAGGAGTTCCTTCAAAAACCATCGCGTTCCTAACTTTCCAGATTGACCAAAAGATGACTTCCGGTATAAACTTCCAAATCGTCGAGTTTACGCTCAACTCACCCCAGGAACAAAAAAGCGAAGGAGGATCTTGTGGTAGAACCAAAGAAATGCCCCAGAAACTTGCTACTTTATTCTATAGTTCCCAAACAACATAACAAGAAATGAATAGATGCTGCACTGATTCCTCCTGTTTCTTACAAAAAGGACATAGGATATCGTCTCCTAGTGATAAATCTCTTTTAACCAACTCAGCTTTGATTGCTACTTTCTGGTGAGCAAGCTGCCAAAGGAAAGCTTCTACCCGAGGTGGAGCATAACCCAGCCAGACCCCTTTAGTCCACACAACAGTACCCCCAAACTCATTACCAAGAAACTTTCTGCAAGATTTAATTGAAAACAGTCCATCTTCACTAGCAGTCCACGAAAGATAATCGTCCACTTGATCTGATAGTTGAATATTCTTCAATATAGACATCAACTCCATCCATTGAACCAATTCCCAATCACACAAATTCCTCCTAGTCTGTACATTCCACACCCAACTGCTCGGTTCAGAGCTGCCAAACTCCGCAACCTTCCCCTCTTTATTATTATAGAGCACAAAGATTCTAGGGAAAAGGAATTTTAAAGAACACTCATCAGCCCAAACGTCATTCCAAAAAGAAATGGATTTGTCATTTCCCACTTTCAATTTCGAATTTGATCTGAGACAATCTCCATCCGAATCATTCTTCAGGTAGTTATTAGATATTCCTCTCAAAATCCAAGAATATTGAAGATAAGAAACCTCCCCAATAGACATTGAATTACAACTGACCTTATGTTTACTGCACAACACGCATTTCCATAGGGAATTTTTATCATTGACAAATTTCCACACCCACTTGACCAGTAGAGCCCGATTAGTGAGATTCAGATCAAGAACACCTAGACCGCCACAATTCAATGGCTTGCAAACTGTACTCCAATTCACCCAGTGGATTCTCCTCTTTTCCTCTTTATCGCCCCATAGAAAATTAGCCAGTAATGAATTTAACTTCTTACCAATTTTGCATGGCATTTTGAACATAGATAAGAAAAAAATTGGTAAGGAAGTTAACACCGACTTCAATAATACTGTCCTACCAGCCAAAGACAAACATGAAGCTTTCCACCCAGCAAGTTTGGCAGTAAAGTTCCTTAAAATTGGATCCCATAGAGCCTCTGAATTCTTCTTAGAACCCAAGGGAAGTCCCAAATATTCTGTTGGAAGGAAACCTACTGAACAACTCACTTGTGAAGCCCACTCTGTTAATTCTTCATCCTCCATGTTTATACCAAACAACTTGCTCTTCTCCAAATTTAGATGTAAACCTGCCATGATACTAAAAATCCTCAACACTCTTTTAACATTCTTGAGCTGAGTAATAGAAGCTTGACAAAAAGTGATTAAGTCATCAGCAAACTGAAGATGAGACAACATCGTAGAATTTTCAGTTTTCCCAATAACAAACCCTTGGAGCAGACCCTTGTCAACTGCTTTAGTAAGCATCAAATGGAGTAACTCGCCTACCATGTTGAACAGTAGCGGAGAGAGTCTACAACCTTGTCTTAAACCCTTGGCCATAGGGAACTCTTCCGAAGGAGACCCATTCACAAGAATCGAAATCGAAGCTGTCGAAATGCACTTAGAAATCCACATGAACCATTTTTTACCAAAACCCATCTCTGACATCGTTCTAAATAAAATAGACCATTCCACAGAATCGTAGGCTCTACGAAAATCAACTTTTAGAACAACTCCACGCAACCCTTGTTTTCTCCAATAGTCAATTCCTTCATTCGCAATAAAGGCGCAATCCAACAACTGTCTCCCTGGTATAAAAGCAAACTGGGATTGACTGATGATATTTCCTACACAGCAGCTCAATCTCTTTGATAAAACTTTAGATAGGATCTTGTAAAGACTGCCCACAAGACTAATTGGTCTAAAGTCGTCCACACTATCCTAATTTAGCTTCTTCAGAATGAGCGTAATAAACGCATGATTAACCCCATGTTCCCAATCCCTGCCCAAGTAAAATCCTGAAAAAATCTCATTACATGCTCCTTCAAGGACGGCCAGCATTTCTTGAAGAAGCCCATTGTGAAGCCATCCGGGCCAGGAGCTTTAGAACTATCCGATGAGGCTATCGCTTGCCAGATTTCCTGATCAAAAAACTGCTCCTCTAGTTTTGTAGCTTTGCCCTCTGTTAGCTTAGCAAAATCCAAAGATAAAACATCCAGCTCCATAGTAGACTTATAATTGTAGGCATTCTTAAAATAATTTGCAATATGCACCTTTATCGAATGCGGATCTGAAACAACAGAGCCATTGATCTTCAAACTTGTAATTTCATTTCTTTTACTCCTGTTTAGCGCAGACAGATGAAAGAATCTTGTATTTCTATCCCCATCCTTAATCCATTTTGCCCTTGACTTCTGGAACCAAATGCTTTCTTCAACCCTATACAGCCTCCAAAGATTTGATCTGAACTGTGACAACTGTTCCCACTCCTGTTGGGAGAGAACACCACGTTGTGCTTTAAATTCAATGTCATGAATCTTCAATTCCAAATCTGAAATAGACTCAGAAATCCCTTGAAACTTACTGCCAGACCAGTTTCTGATTGATTTTTTTGTTCCTTGTAAAAAACTGAAGAAACCCCTTCTCTTCCTACTCACCCTTCAATTATCCAAGGACGATTTAACCAACTCCTCAAATCCTTCCTCCTCTAAAAGATAATTAAAAAATCTGAACGGTTTAGGACCCCAATCTACTGATTTTTCCTCCAATGAAATAGGATTGTGATCATATAAAGACCTAGGTAGTAAGCTCTGCACAATATTCGGAAAACATATAAAAAAACTCCCAGAAATAAGGAACCTGTCAAGTCTGACCCAAGTAGAAGTTTCTCTGTTGTTACACCATGTAAACCTTCCCCCTACCATAGGAAGATCGATTAAGTTTGTTTGATTCAGGAAATTTCTCAAAATATCAATAGAGAGCCAATTTTGAGACCTTCCCAATTTCTCTGCCGAATCAAGGTACACATTTAAATCACCTCCAATACAAACTGGCCCGGTTTGAGCAGCAACAAAATCCGATAACTCCTTGAAAAATTCAGCCTTTTCTGAATCAATGGAAGGACTGTACACATTAATGATCACATAGTCTTCAGTTGAGTTCTTAAACTTCCCAAACACTGCAATGAATCTGCCACTTAAGTGGCAATTGGAGACTTTAAAATCCTTATCATTCCACAAAACCATTAATCCACCCGCAGACCCCACCGCTGGAACCAAAGTTCCTCCATTAAGAATACTACCTCCTAACCTCCTCCTAAGAGCCTGAGAACAGGATTCCAGCTTTGTTTCCTGAATGAGAAGAATGCACGGTTTGAACTTCTTAACCATATTTGATATAGCTCTTGATTTCTCTTTTTTCCCCAAACCCCTTACATTCCATGAGATAATCTTAATCTTTATAATGAAGACTTGTCTAAAACCAAAACCTCAAGACTAAAGAACTATCAGCAATCTAAACTCCCGAGTCTAGCCCCTCCCTACTATCCACCAAACCCTCCTCAAAATTTATAATTTTTTTCCAAAAAGGCCTTCTTCCCCTCCTTGAAAGAAATCCCCAAAATATTACTTACATCCCATGTAGCCAATGCCTCTTCCAAAAATACTGAGAAATTTGAAGAAGACAGTAGGAAAACTGACCCTATCCTAAGCTTCCCTGACCAGAAGCCTTCTCTTTCTTCTATCCTCATTCCTAGTCACTGGATCAGATTGACCAACTGATGTAACATCTGTTATACATCGGGGAGACTGAAAGTGATCTCCAGCAGAAAGAAGACTAAAACTACCTTCCTCCTCAACCCCCATAGGGCTTCCCTCCAAGATAGTAGGAAAATATTGATTACTCAACAAAGGACCGATTTTAGTCCTGTTATTTTCTGGCAACTCCAAAGATTGCAATACTCCTTCACTGCTTGGGTTAAACCACACCTTTCTATCTTTAGATCTTCTATACACTTTAGAAGTAGAGCCTTTTTTCCACCTTCCTATCGATGCATTTCTGAAATACAAGCTTCTGGATAAATGATCTGACGGACACCAACTCCTAAAATCCTTTGCAAGAGACTTCTTATTAAGTCCTAGCCCCTGGTAACTACCCATATGAACTTTCCTTGCTTCCTTTTCCACCTCTGTTGCAACCGCACTGCAAACTTCCTAATCCCTGACAAAAACTTCCTCTAACCTTTCCTCATTTGACTTATTTGAATACCCTCTATCTATGGCCCCACCAGGCAACGTAATGGAGTTTAAATCTGACGAAACAGAAGCCAAATTCTGCCTTTTTGATTCCTCCGAACCAGGTTGCTGTTGAACTCCTTCCATCTCCACCCGAGACTCCAAACGGTTACCATAGCTCAAATTTAATAAATTGACAGCTGGCCCAGACGGGGAAATTCTATTAATATTTGAGTTGGGCTCACTCAAGTCCTCTTGGTGGGCTTTATCACATTCATTAATAAAAACATTCCTTAGACCAAGGCCCCTGTAATCCTCTTTAAAATTCAAATTTCTTCAGGAAAATCTGACACCTTAGCACTACTAGGTTGACCTTCTCCTTCCTTTAGCATTAAATGCTTACTTCCACTGCCGCCTGCCACTGTTTTACAGACCTCCCCTACCAACCATCTGTCGACTGTGTCCCTAGAGTCCTCAGCTAGCAATTGTGGGCTGCCTACCCTGCCTGAACTTCGGTCTTCTTTCTCCACTGATGAAACTTCATCTCCAAACTCACCCTCTCCGGCCACCGTAAAATTTTCTACATAAGAGTTTTCTTGTTTTGTACTAACCGAACCCACACTGATTTTTACCTTATAGGATCTCCCATATGAACCCAATATAACAGTTTCCTGTATATCAAAAGGACTGGCCACCCTCAACAAAGCCCTTGCAACCGCCAAATCCTCTCTTCTAACTGTGGACTCGTGGAAACACACCAGTTTCCCCCACCTTGAGACAAGCTTTTCCAGAAAAGGAACATTCCAACATAGTAAGGGGATTCCAACCAACTCCACCGAGCAAAATGCCATCGGGACTCCATCTACACTCATAAGTGGATCAAGCCAATCAAACCAAAAAGACACTTCCTCCCTTCTGCTCGCCCATACCTCCTCGAACCCTTCCTGCGAACCAAACGATATGATACAAGAATTCCATGAATATCCCCATTTAGCTCCCTTGACCTTGATCCCTTCACTAGCCAGACCCTTCACTGCTAACTCCAAATCGAACTGGGATTTGATGATCCCAGTTAATGATCTTTTCACCCAATCATATTCATCTGAGGGAATATGCATTTCCCACAAATTCCTTAGCCCTACATCCTTGTTTTGATGTCCCTCCCAAATCTCTTTAGTCGCCGGGCCTTCCCTCCGCCCATCATAAGAAGTTAGCACAACCTTATAAGATCTCTCATCCCTCAATCGACTATATGACTCAGGACCACCTCTTCTACTCCGATTCACATCCTTTTTCCACTTATCTTCATCCCTTCTGCCGTTGCTACTAACAGCTTGCTTGAATCTCTGCTTCTGGTACTTAGCAACTCCTACCGAGATTTTCTTGCCATCTATCCAAATACCATTTACATTTGCTATCGCTTTCTTCAACCCATCCTCCTTTGCGAACTGAACGAAAGCAAAAGTATAATTTCTATAGTTCGGCTTGTTAGAATTACTCGGAATGTAAACACGTAGAACATTCCCCTGTTGTTGAAAAATTTCCTTGACTGTTTTCCAAGATGCCCTTTTACTCAGATTATCAACGAAGACCGTCCAATCCTCGCCGGAGGACTGACCACCTAAAACCCTCTCTCTCTCTCCCGCTCTCTCTGACACTCTCTCTCATCATGTTTTTACTGGAATTATTCTCACGATGGATTATCACTTTTAATTGATAACTCTTATTTTATGGCATGATCTTTTTTTGTTTCAGAGCCTTTTGTATTTGCATGCCTCAGTTTATATGCTCGTCTCTGTTATTTTTAGGAGAACATGGAAAATGAAATGAATGGCAGTCTCTTTTTATTGCTTGCTTATTTCCGTTGGCATTTGTTATTTTTTTCTTCCCTCTCAACCTTGATGCTTCTAAACACTATAGACAACTATTGTTAAAGATGGTAGTTAAATTTAGGTGCACTAATGACTTCTAAACTTTTGCAGACAGCATCTGAAACAAAGTTGAAGGTTGTTCTAGTTTGTTGGTCGATGAAATTATTGTCCTCGCAAATTACACAAGGCAGAGTTTGCAGTTGTGATATGACTTTTGTTTTGCCTTTCACTGTTGATGCTTTTCCCTTGGTCCAAATCATCGTGTTGGCATTTGATTCTCATGGATATTGTATGGTTCCCGTTATTTCCAGCACAAGTAAGAAGTGAGAAAAGCATTACGCTATGACTTGGCATAACTGAGACACATAACCTTAGCCTGTGTTGTACTTTTAAGCATTTTAAATGTGTTGTGCAGCAATTACTTTTTTGCTTATTGCACTGCTTGGATATTGGCTCATTTGTATGTACATCGCAACACCCGGTCTTTCTTCTTTTTCTGTTGGTGGTATGCTATAGTCTGAACTAGGGTTGTAGGCTAGCAATTAGCATTAGAGACATCAGCACCCCTCCTTTCCCCCTGGATTTGCTTGATGATTCCATGTAAAAGTAGTAGTTAAAAACATTGTTGTTGTATTTGAAATCAGGTAGCTCTTTAGTTTTCTGTAGATGTCAGCATCCTTTTATGACATTTTCCTTTTTGTGCTTTCGTTTGCACTAATCTTGCCATGGCATGTTCATGATAAAACTCTCTGAAAGTTGGACTGTTGATGTTTGATATAGGAGCAATTTTAACATTTCGTATGGTGATTTGTAACACTGTCATGGAAATGGAAGCCTTTTTGGAACATAGATTTTAAAGCATTGCTGTAATTTTTGTTTTTAATGTTGGCACCCTTTAGATTGTTAATAATAATTTGACTCTTTACTTGAGAACAAAGCCAATTATTGCTACTGGGTAATGCTGCGATAAGAGAGCTTTGTTTGCCAGCAGGGATGGACGAATTCATGTTAGGTTGTAAATTTAAGAAATTATATTAGAAACTTATTACAGAAAATACTTGAAATATAAAAAAAATTAAATTTCTTGGGGACCGCATTACCAAACACTCGGATCAAGGCTCGAGACAGATCGCGAGTTATTCGAGATCGACTCGATCAAGGCTCGATAAATACTCGGATCGAATGGACTCGACTCGAGCTCGACTCGAGTTCTTAACGAGCCGAAACGAGTTATTCGATATTCGACTCGAAAAGCTCGTGAGAACCTTGAAAAAATAATATATTAAAAAATTATTTTTTAAAATAAATTATTAATACGGGCGATAATCTAAATACTCACAAATGCTCAAGGGAGAATTAATGAGTTGTTTGAGTTGAAGGTCGGGGTTCATTTATTCAAAATCTTAGTGCATGAAGTTGATCTTTCCTTCAAACTTGATTCTTGGGTTTCTGAAGATTGCAATATTTCTTTAGAACTTGATCCTCCAATTGGATTGTGATTGTTCGACAGCTGTATTAAGAGGTATTTTTAGGTTTGTGGTTGTAATTGTTGGTTTTTTTTACTATGTTATCTTATATCTTGAGGTGTATTTTACAAATGGGGTTATTGGTTTAGGGGCTTTTTGTTTGACGATGTAAGATTTCTAGGTGATATGGTTTGTATTGGTGTTTATTCTCGTATTTGGGTTTGGTGATTCCTCATGGACTTGGTATTTTATTTAATAAAATATGAGGTACTCTTTTCTTCCTTCCAATGTTCTTCAACATACTTCTAAGTATGTGGAAGAATATGAAGGGAGTTTTTAATGAGACTTCCAAATTCTATCAAAAAAAATTATTAATAATATTAATATTTATGTATTGATTTTTTAAAAAATAGTAAGATTTCATGTATTTAAGATTCAAGTTTGAATTTGAGGTTTCAATCGAGTTAAGTTTAAGATTTTTTTTTTCATTTCGAGCCTTTTCGAATCGAGTTAAGTTTAGATTCGAGTTTTTCATCACGAGCCTTTTCGAGTTATCACTTGAGTTTTATTTACAGGATCTCCTTCGAGTCGTTTTTGAATTTTTTTCAGGGAAGATGATAGTGGAGTTAGTACAACTGTTATTATTTGCATTGATCCTTTTTCTATGTAATGTTGGAATTTATTTTTACCATTTGAAGTATTTATTCTCTTCTCATTATTTAATTCTCATAATTTTTCCCTCAGTTATCCTATGTAACATTTTATTTTAATATCTCAGTTAAGAAAAAGACTCCTGGTGTATTTTTTGAAACTCAAGCTTCTTTTTAAAGAATTCTTGGGTCTTCAATTTTTTTACGATTTCTAATGATTTTATATATCTAATTTTGTAAAAAATTAAGCCCAAGTTATGCATACATACATATATATATATATTTGGAAATATAAGTTCAAAATAAAAATTCTGAAAATTATAGAAAATTTTAACGTCTTCAGTTTTTTTTTTACTTTTAATACTTTATAATTATAGACCTAAAATTTGTTTATAAAGTGTTTTCTTCGGTTTTTAATAATTTAATGATTTTTTAAATTCTTTATAAATTTGTATGCATGTGACGTGACATATTCTTATTGGATCATGTGAAATTTTAAGAGAATATCACTCGACTTATGGGTAACACAAAATAATACTCTTAACAGAACCATATTTGGTTGGGACAATTGAAAAAATTTCTATAAGAAACCATGAGAATTAGACTGAAGTATTAGGTAGAAATATCCATTTAATGTCGGTATTCGTGAAACATGTTGATTCTTGACGTTAAGGATATTTTTTTGGCAATCTATGTTTGAATTAGGGGTAAATATCATTTTAGTCACCATTGTTAGAGGAAAAGATCATTTCGATCGCTGATCTATTAAATACCTAATTACGTTACCACTCGATGTGTCATTTTCTTGGATATATTAATACTCTTCGATAGGTGGTGATTAGGGGTGTAAACGAGTCGAGCTCGAGTATCACCGAGTTTAACTCGAACTCAAAGATTTTAAATGTAAGCTCGACTCGAAAACTCACGAGTCTAAAATTTTTAAGCTCGACACGAACTCAAACTCTAAAAGGCTCGAACTCAAAAAATATTCAGAAACTCGATTAAAGCTCGAAACTCGAACTCGATTGAAGCTCGATTTAAGCTTGATCTCTGAATATCGAATCCTCTAGCAGGCCTACGGGTATGAATTGTCAAACCATTAGCTGCAATTAAACCATCTGAGAAAGGAGAAACGGCCATAAAACTTCCTTTACGGCCTCCATCAAACAAGTGACTTGTGAGTTGGAGGAGAGTACAAAGAATGGTAAGCAATCCCAGGAGAACCAAGTGGACCACTCTTTGATTTTGGTCTTCTTTGTGGATGCAAGTTCGATTTCCTCACACAGGCATCCCCAGAAACAGGACTGAAAATCCACCTCTCAGCATCTTCCCACTTTGAAGGCAAGGTCTTTCCATTGTTCAGAGGTAACACCCCAGCAACATTCGCTTGTCTCCTTTCACCATTGTTATGCAATGCCACACGTTCAGAACTCCAACCCTTCTGCATTCCAAAACTCAACTGGTGATGATGATTGGGAGTCCCAAGACTAGGAATTGCATTCGATTTCCGTGTTGGAACAGTGCTTTTCTTCATAGTCCACAACCGAAGAGACAATGCAGAAATATTGGGGGATGGTGGCCGACGTCTGTTTGGCCCTGTGGAGGGGCTCTCGACCAGGAAAAAAAGGGGGAGTGTTTGAGAACTCTCAAAATGGGGGTGGTTGTTTATTTTTTAGGATTAGGCTGTCGACCGGGATAAAAACGGTGGTAGATGGACTGTCGGTGACGCCTAACGCCGGCGGTGAGAGGCGTGTTTACTGTATTCTTTTCTTTTCTGTCCTGGGTTATGAGTTCTTGAGTTCCAAGTTCCTAATCTTTCGCTTCAAATGGCTTCACCCACAAACCCCGATTCGCTTTTAGAGTTTTAAACAAAACATGAACAGAGTTAACTGGCTTTTCAGTGAGAGACGAAAACAGACAAGCGGGACTGAGTTTTGCTACATATGGTTGGCTTGTCTTTAAAAGGAAAATGCACACACTACGACACAAGTACAACTGTCAACTGAGAATAGAAAAACATACGTCATATTAAATTTCTGTATAGATAGGTTAAACGATAATCGAATACGAATTAAATTATTGATTGATTAAAGAATCTATTGTTTTTATTGAAGTTTTGAATTTAAATAATATATATATGAAAAATATAAATATTTATTATCAAATTATTAGACATCTTTAAATAATATTGTCTTTTATTTATTTTAGATTTATTAGAAAAATAAAAAGTGAATTATATATTTCATATATTATGGTCGTATTATTGTATTATTATATATAAGGAAGCTAATTCTAGAGGCATCATGGATTGCTTCACCACAAGTAACTAATTCATTATGGCATTATTTAACATAATGATAATCATTCAATCGTTAACTTTTGGATAATACACATCATTTATTATATACTTTAAATTTTGCCACAAGAATAAAAAATTGCAAACAAATCACTAAATTTAGTTCTTGAAATATTATGTTGGTAAGTCAATTCTTTAAATATTATGTTGGTGAGTCAGTGCTTGAAAGCAATGACGGTGTCGATAGTCATCATTAAGATATGATAAAATCATGTATCAATTAACAAGTTGTGTATATTTGTTTGCTGTTGATATGTTTATGTATAAGTATGCGAATGATTTATTTAGGAGTCATATAACATCATTTTGCATAATTTGTATGTTACCTTAATGCGCATAACTTAACCCCTATCACATAATTGAATTAAGGGTTTAGGGTTTAGGGTTCATTACAAATACATTAATTAATCGACTTGGTACTGATTTATGAGGTAAGTACAATATAATATCTTGATATTAAATGTTGCTCACAACTTGATATTAATTAATCAATATAGTTATTGAAATATTATGTTTAGGGCTTTGGGTTCATTACAAAATTTTATAATTATCAATAATGTATTTTTAATATATTTTTAATAATGTAATTTTAAAACATCGAAAATTATAATATAACATTTTTTCGAGCTGCTAACGAGCTTTTCGAGTCGAATATCGAGTAGCTCGTTTCGGCTCGTTAAGAGCTCGAGTCGAGTCCATTCGATCCGAGTATTTATCGAGCCTTGATCGAGTCGATCTCGAGTAGCTCGCGATCTGTCTCGTCTCATTTACAGCCCTAGTGGTGATGCATCAAACAAAATAAGATAAATTTTTATTATGAAGTCAGATAATCAATCAAAGCATAACCACAAAACCAACATGGGTAATAATAGGGTGAGGGTTCGATTGAGTACTTTTTTTTGAATTATTTAAATTTACGAGTTCTATTTTCTAAATTGAAGTTGATTTGAATTTTTTTCAAGTTGAGTCAAATTTTTTGAGTTTCTGTTTAAATTTAATTATAAATATTTATAATATTTATGATATTATATTATTCCAATTTAAATGGTTTTTTATAATCATATAAAATACATGTATATTTCTTCATATTTTTTCAGATTTGGTATACATATATCATACAAAGATAGGGGACTTAACTCAAACTTGAAAATCAATCCACTAATTATTAAAAATTTCGAGTTATTATTCGAGTT